AAAAAAAAAAGCAATTACAGTAGATCACAGGGATGAGAAATTTATGAATGATTATAGTGTCATTAACTATCTCCATAAAAGTCATTAGAAATTATTTGTTTCTTCTGAGCACGCACCTATTGACTATTGTACGTTGCCCTTTACGGGGTAAGTAAATTGATTGCTCAGCAGCTTCCTCTCATATAAAGTGAAGAACGCCTTATAGTTGTTTTGTGACTGATGGATAAATTGTTACCAAGGTGACATCTGAGACTGGAGTACAAGTGTTGAGCTTGTTTCCTTATTGATTCCCCTCTAAATCACTGCAGCTTTATGATAATCACATAGTCCTAAATCACCCTTTTTGACTCGCTCTCTCGTTCAGCTTTCTGAAATATAGTATGAATGTCTACTACAGGAAGGTAGTAAATCCTTGAGTCTTGCGTTAATGTCTTGCATGCAGCATTAGTTACTGAATTGCAGTATTGCCTATGTATGCATTTCCTGTACAGCTGACAGTGTATTTCATACTAGGCTTGTTTGCCTCATCATCTCTCTCTTCTTCACCTGCAGGCTGGTTATAGCGAGCCGGTTTCACCCCTGTCCCGTCCTTTTGGGCCTGCTCAAGTTCCTCTCACCCTCCAGGCCTTTTGTAGTTTATTCCCAGTACATAGAGGTAAGATCTTCCATGTCCCGTACAGAACAAAGCTAATAAGTGAGATCTCTGATTAGTTGCCACTGTAGTCAGGCTTGTATTGGTTAGACATCCAATGGGGAGAGGTTGCCATACCACATGAATGCAATGGACATTATCACCGCCAAGAGGTTGCTTGAACTTATTAACTTCCTTCATGCCCATGTTGCTAGAAAGAGCAATCTGTCATATTTTCTATGTTGATTTCCGCAGCCTCTCATAGAGTGCTTCAAGAAACTCAAGGAATGTGGCGGCACAGTCAACCTCAGACTCACAGACACCTGGCTGAGACATTACCAGGTAAATATTTGGACTCTGCACTGTGTGCGCTTTCTGATTTTTTGCATTTGAAGTATTCTATAATCAAAGTATAATGAAGGTGGCTCATAGTCAACAAGCAACAGGGAATAATTACTCAAATCAGCACAGCTAACTGCTTTATCACTGTTTAGGTTAACTTGACAGTTACCTCGTTTCCATTAGCATCGTCTCTGCTCAACTCGACTCAACTGCTACTTTTTTTTGTTATTATTTTGATTTTTGTGAAGGAATTGCTCTCATGACTAATTAAGTGGCTAATGGATAATCTGTGGCATACGGAGTTGACATTACACTTTCCCATTGACTCATACCGCTTGGACCCCCAACTGAGCAGGTACTAAAAAGTAGATGGTAACAATAAAAAACGAGTTGAAACGAGTCGAGTAGGTAGTAGTGCAAAAAGGCTAAAGGATTTGGACTTTTCATCTAAATGCATTACAATCAGGTTTACTGGATAGCTGCCAGAGTAAAGCCTGCTGAATGTCCAGTCTGACTGCGCTTGTTTCCAATTTGGCAACTGTGGCTATGCATTCTATACAGACATGCATACATGCAGGCCTCCAAAACACCAACAGTGCGCAGCAGCTAGAACAACTTCTGCTCTTGTGGGAAACATTTAAAGAAGATTTAGGAGTGTGTCTGTGGGAACTGCTGCCCTCTCATCCAGAAGATTTGTGAACTCAGATATTGATGTTCAACGTGAGGGCCTGACTCATAGTTTATATACTAGATCACGTTAAAGATGTTTCGTGAGCTTGAGTTCAGGCTTCTACGCAGGCCATTGAAGTTTTCCACACTAATCTCATCCAGTCGTACCTTTATGGACTTTGCTTTCTGCACTGGGGCACAATCATGCTGCAACAGAAAAGGGTCGTTCCAGCTTTTCCTTTACTGGAACAAAGAGGGGCAGGCCAATCCAGGAAAGCCCAAACTCATCCATCAGACCACCAGATAGCAAAGTGTGATTTGTCACTGTACAGAACAGCTCCAGAGTCCAGTGTTGGCACCTTTATACCTCTCCGCTTGGTGATGTGAAGCTCATTTGCTCTGTTATGGACATCCATGCCCTGAAGCTCCCAGCACACAGTTTTGTGCTGATGTTTATGTCAGAGGAGGTTTGGAACTCCAGGCTTTTTTAACACTGTCTGCCTAAGCAGTCTGTAATGTTACATGGACTTCCACTTTGTGGCTGAATTGCTTTGGTTTGTAAATATTTTCACACTTACAGTCGAAGAAGAAATAAATTTCACAAACTTTTTGCTGCGATAGCATCCTGTTACAGTGTCATGCTCAAATTGATGATAGCAGCGATGTATAAACGTTGAGACCTTTTGAAAGACTGTAGATGGACCCGATCTTTCACAAATGTCTGTAAATGCAGACTGCATGGCTAGGTGCTTGGTTTTTATACACATGTGGACATGGGACACCGTTATTCAAAGATGAAGAGGTGTGGCTCAATATATTTGCCCAAATTAATTACATGATGGTCTGTGATCTAAGGTGTGCGTAGCATAGAACCTGCTGGCGACGTAAGTTGGACATTAGAGTTGTCACACACAGCTTCTGTGGGTAATGTTAAAAGCTCAGATCATGAGTTCATGTATGTAAACTGCTTCATTCTCACTCTTCTTCATCACAGTGTTGTGGATTATTATCTTTCGATTCATTGGTTGTTGTCCCACCAGGATCTATTGCTTAACCATAAGTATTCACGATGTGTAAGGACACAATCCAGAAAAGAATCGAATTCTCCGCTTAGAAACTGCAAGCATTGAATTAATTAGAACAG